AGAGAGAGAGAGAGAGAGAGAGAGAGAGAGAGAGAGAGAGAGAGGTCGATCCCAATTCCTAGAGTGCAGGTTAGCAGGTTAGTTCGGCCAAAGGCCAACCCCCTGCCCTGGATGTGCAGGTAAATTCAATCGCTAGCTGAATCCCCAGTCCTGGATTAGGGATTGGGGTGTCCCCTCAACCAATCCCTGTAGGTTTAAAAAGGACACCCTTATAAAGGACACCCTTATAATGTGTCCTTTAGGGTATAATTGACTTTTAACCTTAATAACTAGATTCACCTAGATGCTAGTGTACCGAAGGCAGAAACACAAAAATGACAAAAAACATAAAATCACAAACCTGACACACAACTCAGGACACAGGACTTGCCAGGTCAGCACAACAGATAACACAGAACGCACTGAACCAGTCAGTGCCGAAACAGGTAGACGGCCAAGGCAGAACAGATAACACAGAACCTTGTCTGACCGGTTACCCAATCGCAACCTGCTAGAGACAAAACACACAGTAGGCTTCTGACTTGCCCTCGGAATTCAGGCTTTACAGAAACCAGAGCTTGTACCTGATAGAAACCCAAGGGAGGGACTATACTAAATTTTTCCCCCTTTCTCTCGATATTTTCTCCAGTCATTCCCATGTTTGGAAGGAAAAGAGGTTGGAGCCCTCAACCCACTGGGCAAGGGTGGTGATATCCTGCCATGTTTTTTAGGCTGAGAAGTCAGCCAGCTCCAAGCTGCATGAGGCGAGCATGAGCCTCACTCAGAGCTTTAAGTGTCAGGCAGAAGGACGATGCAGTTACCCAAGCCTTGGTTCTCACTTACCCGAAAAACTGATTGGCTCCACCTGGAATGGGGCCCTTGGGTTCCTTTTCGGGAACCCAAAGCCACAGAAAAACCCTGTCTCTAAGAACAACAACAACAACAACAAAGTGTTCCTAGTGTCCTATCACATCTTGGGCATGTTAGAATGGCTAGTAATAATAAAACAGGTATCATAAACATTTAATTCAAGAAATAATTATATACCAAAGATGACAAAATCGCCAGGCGTTGGTGGCACACGCCTTTAATGCCAGCACTCGGGAGGCAGAGGCAGATGGATCTCTGTGAGTTCGAGACCAGCCTGGTCTACAAGAGCTAGTTCCAGGACAGCCTCCAAAGCCACAGAGAAACCCTGTCTCGGAAAACCAAAAAAAAAAAAAAGAAAAAGAAAAAAAAGATAGCAAAATCACTAAGGAGGGACCCAAGAAAGGTCATTTAGAAAGAACAAGTAATATGGATTCTATGATGACTTATCATTTCTAATTAAATACTTTTGGAAAAAAAAGACACTTGGCCTTGAACCCTGGAACATAAATGGGGCATTCTCATTGTACCAAACAGGGTGGATACCTACAACATACAAAAGAATGCTTACTAGTTCCTGGATTCAGGAAGAAAAAACACCTGATAATCCAGAATAGCATTTGGTTTAATAAATCAATATATTTTATTAATCTAAATCAACCTGATCTCCTCTTGGCTAACAACATATCAGCTTCCTTACAAGTTTCGTACAACAATTCCTGTTGCTTTTAAGGCAATCCCAACAGAGAAACGGGCTTGCCTTTCCAGAATGACGTCTTATCACTGGCACCCCACCACTCAACATGCACCTTTCAACAGTTCTTATGGTTAAGAAAAAAATCCCTGACAGCCTACAAAGTTCAGATCTTCCTGCCCATCTTTCCAGGTTAGTCTGTCTCTTATCCCACTTCCTATCACCATGACTATGCTGTGACCTCTTACTGAAATTAGTATGAGCTAATTAACTCAGCTCTTAGTCAAAAGACTCCAAGACCAGAATAAAACTGTCAAACTCAATCACAACCACTCCATCCATTACAGCTGCAGAGTTACGTTCACTTTTACAATGCTGTAGATAATATACTCCCTTACCACACTAGAAAACCTAAATGCTATGAAAACAGATAATTTCCAGTTTTGTTAAACTATGAGTATCTAGTATCTAATCCACTGCCCGCCATGTAGGGATAGATGGATGCATGGATGGATGGATGGACAAAATCAGTACCTCTGGAGGATCTTATTCTTTCAGATTAATACAAGAGAACTATCAAAGTATTCAGAACTTTAAATAACTCTGGTTTGAATTCTGCCATCATTTTTACTCATCATATGCTACAATAATACACAAGTACAGTATCTCTGAATTTGTTTTCAGAAGCCAAATAAGTGTTATGTCTTCCAACTTTAAATATTACCATATTTTGATCAAATCCACATGTGAAGTTATATAACTAATCTTTCAAGTTTGCTTAAAGTGAATGTTTTTGTTAATGAAAGAGCCTAACAAAAGGTCCAGAAAAAGTATGATCACATCTGTCAAGAAAAGCCCAGAGCAGAAATCACTAGCAGAATGCTTGTGAAAAGCTACCTGTCACTTACATATATATTTCCTCAAGGCTGTTTGATAAGTCTGCACGTTCTTGCCCTTTCAGCCAAGGAGCACTAAGATTGAACAAAACACAGTAAAGAAAATTACTCAAGAATTAGGTGAATACTTCAAATATTCATTAATGTATTTTTAAAATCTATACAGAATTAAAATGTTTTCATTGTCCTTAATTTATTTAAACTGCTCAAGAATCTATAGCAAAATCAAGACTAATCATACTGAATTTTTATGACTTAAAAAAACAGAAATTGAGTTCCTAAGGTACCAGAAACTCGTCCAAGTTTGTATCAGTGGCAGAACCTGTTCAAGAATTTAACACTACAGATTTATAATGGCTATAAAAATGCCAAATTCTTTTCTAGCTGCAATAGATTACTCTCAAGAATGAGTCCAACAAGTTGCCATGTGATTGTAAAAATGCTTTTTTTTCTGAAATGATATTTAAAGCATCTGTATTTATCTTTTGCAATAGATAAAAGAATACAGAACCATTTTTTGTTAGTTTTATTGGCATAGTTTTGAAATACACACAAAATAACACATGTAGATAAAACTTTTCATAGCCAATTTATGCAACTCTGTTCCCATGGCTTTTCTAAACTATGAAGTTAAAGGTGAGGTAGGTTACAGTTCACTTACATCAACAGATCAGGACTCATGTAGATGAAGCTTGAACTACTAAAAAGTGGTTCTTCAATAGCAATGGAGGGATAAAGCAGGCACAACCACCTACAGCACACTGGATAATTTCAAGAAGGATGGCAGTTTGAAGTTAATCCAAGAGCTGGATTAGGAGGCTGAGCCACAAGAAATGATTTCTTCCCACAGTCCTGTACTTTCTGACCTCTGTCAACTCTCATTTATACTAGGTAGCATGTATCAGTGTGCTTCAAATCATTCTGTAAAATGTTCTCTACTACCTTAAAAGATGTTTCTAATTTCTGTTTTCACCTTCTTTTTTTTTTTTTTTTTTTTTTTTTTTTTTGTTTTTTAAAAAGTGGTTTTTTCTATGGCTTTGGAGGCTGTCCTGGAACTAGCTCTTGTAGAGCAGGCTGGCCTGCCTCTGCCTCCTGAGTGCTGGAATTAAAGGCATGTGCCACCACTGCCCAGCTTCTATTTTCATCTTAAACAAACTATTTTGTATAAACACAATGACTGTATAGAAAACTATCTTTGACAGTAAAATATTTCTATAAAAATATAAAGGTAAAAATATAGCTTACTTCAACTGATAAACAGGTGGTGCTGTACCTGGATATTCTCTCGGTAACATCACCTACAAGGAAGTTTTAAAGCAAATTTGCTTACACTGATCACAGCTGAAAAGCAATTACATTTATAAAGCCAGCCAATGAACAAGTTTCAAATTTGTCTAGACAAAAGACAAACCATTGGTTTATACACTATCAAATGAAAATCCCCAATGTCATATTTGTGGTCTACAAAAAATACATTGTTAGAGAGGCTGTCTGGTTTTTAGAAGCTAATTCTTGGCAAAGAAAGTATAGCAGAATTAAAGTTAAGAATAGGGTTAAGGGGGCTGGAGACACGGCTCAGAGGTTAAGAGCATTGACTGCTCTTTCAGAGGATCCTGGTTCAATTCTCAGCACCCACATAACAGTTCACGACTGTCTGTAACTACAGTTCCAGGGTATCTGACACCCTCATACATGTAGACAAAACACCAATGCAAATAAATAGGAATCATTTAAAAAATAAATAAATAAGAACAGAAATGATAAAGAAATGTATACAGGGGCACTATGCCCTGACTATAATTAATGTTGATGCTATTTTTCATTTTCCAAATAAAAATAAAATACCCTATGAAATATCATTCAAGATAGTCTGTGAAATACACATCTTTTAAAATCAATACTGTGACAACAAATACTGCAAAATCCACAATTCCGCATCCTTTCTATGAAAATATAGCTGCCGTGGAATAAGCACTAAGACAGAAAGCCACAATTAATCTTTCATTCTAAGTACAACTGAATCTCAATAAAGTTACAATTATTGCTCCATGAATTTTTTTTTTGCTCTATGAATTTTTATTCATAACCTCTTCCTCTTAAATGTTAGCCACCTTTCCAGGTCTAAACCTCCTGTTAGAGTAACAAAAGGAAGTATAACTCAAATCTGTAAACAGAACATTAACATGTTTAATAATTAGAAGAATTAAGACAAGATTGCAACAATCAAACAAAGCATGATTTAAGATCTAAATATCTATGTCCGAATAATCATGACAATACAGCAGTAAGAATCAAATGGCAGGCCAGGTGTTGGTGGCGCATGCCTTTAATCCCAGCACTTGGGAGGTAGAGGCAAGCAGATTTCTGAGTTCAAAGCCAGCCTGGTCTACAGAGCGAGTTCCAGGACAGAATCCAAAGCAATACAGAGAAACCTTGTCTAGAATAAAGAAAACAAAACAAGATTTTACATGTTAAATTCTGTTGACTGGAAGATAGCTATAAGAAGAAAAACATACCTGCAAGCAAAGTGTCCATTTGGGGTCATCTATGTCGTCACTGATTCTAATACAAAATATTTTGGCACAATCATCAATGACACACCATTCCTCGCCATAAATAGCTGCCATTGCTTCAATCTCCTCATTCTGAAAATTGATTTTAACAAATAAGTATACATGGATAAACCTATTCTCACTACCTTTTAAAGCATTGACAATTAGCATACCTAGCCAGGTCAAAGAGGAGCCTTAGGAGACCATATGTCCTTGGCATGTTCTGCTGTCTGGTTTCCTAACACTTTTGCCATGACTACAACTGTAAGGATTCAGGTATTATGCTTGCCCCTGTCACCTGAGAGAATACATTCAGGCAGTACTCTGTTCAGCCCAGAGTTCCATGAGTACTGCACTCAGGTGCAAAGGACCCCTTTAAAAGAAAGACCCCCCCACCCACTTTCTGCTCTTTCCAACTCTTCTCTCTCTCAGCTCTCTTCTCTTCTCTCCCCCCCAAGCCCTCTTTCCCACTGTTACCTGGGGCAGAGGGATCTTCTCTTCTGTCCTCTGTTTCTCTTTACCTCTTTTCTCTTTCCTTCCCCCTCCCTCTGCTTTCTAATAAACCTTCTCACTTAAGCTGTCTGCGTGGTGTGTTTGTCCCTCTTCTTCCATCACCCTTACCTCCCACGAAACCTGCCTTGGAATCCATGCAAGGTCCCCTTAAGCTTTATCATAACATTGGTTTCAGTATAACTTCTTACCATTCCTTTGTTTAAAAAAAATGTTTAAGGTGTAACAAACTAACTAACTTAAGTTATATAAATGCAATTTATCAGGGAGCTGAATTGGGCTCACCCAAACATGTCAGATTCACTCCAGATAAATATTATTTAACCTTTCCCTGGTTCCAGGACTCCCTTCCCTCATCTTGGTATCCCCTCGGGAAACCCTCCCACATCTTATGATTCTCCTCCCCTGAAGTAAGAAATTTTTTTTCCTTAATCTTGTCCTCTACTCTGCCAACATCCTGTCAGGTCTAAGAGATGTGCTGGAGAGTTCCATACAGCTGCAATGGAACAACCAGCTACCAGAGGACATGGCAGCATCCCAGCTTTCTCAGGTCCCCCAAAGATGGTCAGTGCCCCCAGGTCAGCAGGAAGTAGCCTTGAGAACTCAGACACCATTGCTCCCTAACAGTCCATGTCTAACTCACCTTTTAATAATAAATAAAGGTGGGAATCTAAGGATTCAGGCATTATGCTGGCCTGCCCCTGTCACCTGACAGAATGCACTCAGGCAGTATTCTGGTCAGCCCAGTGTTCCATGAGTGCTATTCTGCATTCAGATGCAAAGGAATCCTTTAAAAGAAAGACCCCAGCCCACTTATGCTCTTTCCCCCTTCTCTCTTTCCCCTGGGGCAGACGGGACTTTTCCTGTCTCCCTCTTCTCTTCTGTGCTCTCTCTCTCTCTGTGTGTCTCTTCACCTCTTTTCTCTTTCCTTCCGCCTCCCTCCCCTTTCTAATAGGACCTCTCACTTATGTCCTGTCTGGATGGCATGTTTGCCCCTCCACCTCAATCACACCCCCTCACCTGCCATGGAATCCATGCAAGGTCCCCTCAAGCTTTATCATAACAGCAACCATCTTGCATGTACACCTGCGGACACCCCGACACACGCACATATATCCTGTAATGAGATCTACCACAAGAAAAGGCATCCCCACACCATTATCACCAAATTTCTGTTGAGGTTTCATTGAGTACTTGTTTTAGATGTTGTTGTTTTTAATCTGGAAACAAGACTCAGCTTTTTGTTTCTTTTTGCTAAGTACATCAAAGCGCTTAAGAATTTATTTTAGGCTTAAAAAAATAACGACAGCCAGGTGTGATGGCACACACCTTTAATCCCAGCACTCTGGAGGCACAGGCAGGAGGATCTGTGAGCCCTGGCCATCCTGGCTGACCGAGTGGGCTCCCGGACAGCCATGAAATGAGCAGGCCATTGGTGTGATGGCGCACACCTTTAATCCCAGCACTCCGGAGGCACAGGTAGCAGGATCTGTGAGCCCTGGCCATCCTGGCTGACCGAGTGGGCTCCCGGACAGCCATGAAATGAGCAGGCCTAAGATGGAAAATGGGAGGCTCAATGCGTTCAAAATGGGAGGCTGAATGGCGTTCTAATGGCTGCCGAGTCCGGGGCCCACAGGCTGCACCCAGGAGGCCAGCACAGACACCAGAAAGGACAGGCTGGCTGTGCCTGGGATGATACTCCCTGTCGATGGGCCTCACCTGCCTCTGGTCGCGCTCGTTGTTAGCCTCCGCCATGGGGAACCTAAGACCAGCCTCTCGGACTCCACAGACTTCCCAGGAAACAAGGACTGGAAAGAGCAACGCCTGCAAAGACGTATGGTGCACCAGAACTGAAAGCCCAGCACCGCCTACCATGGACATCTGCCTCCGGGTCTCCTCCCAGGGGTGGGGCTTTCTGTCCTTGCTCTGAACTTGTCTTTTGCGCATGCGCACCTTTCTAAGCCCCCCCACCCCCCTCATGGGTGAGTCCTGAAAGCTTGCCTGCTCAAAATGCTGCCAGGCTCTGTCTTTGAAAGTAGCCTGGAAGGGGTCTTCGGCACCCCTTACCGTCAGAACCAGGGAAGACTTTGGGGGCGCACGCTTACCTGACTGAACATTTCAAGGCAACAGAAATTGAACATTTCAGTATTTTGTGTCTTTTTTTAATGTTCAGAGGTGCTTGGTTAATTTTAGCAAAATTTTATTTACAAAAAGAATAAACTGGAAAGGGTAGATAATGAGAAGCCTTATTCTCTCACTGTTGTCTTGTGATACAACATCGTGTATAAGAACAATTTCCACGTGAGACACTAATTATCCTAATTTGCATAGAAGTGGATCTTCGCTTCATTGTGCAATTCTAATATCAAGAGGTAGAGACAGGGATCTTGGAGTTTAAGGCCAGCCTGGTCTACATAGTGAGTTCTAGGCTAGGCAAGGCCATATGTAGTGAAACAAAATTGAGTCAACCGTTAAAAGGGACCAGATATAATTTCCTGTTCCTGGAGTTCTTCATAACTATGTTTTGACTTTTTTGTTTTGGAGAGTTGTTTTGTTTGTTTGTTTGTTTTCGAGAAAGGGTTCCTCTGTTTTGCTTTGGATGCTGTCCCGGAACCCACTCTGTAGACCAGGCTGGCCTCAAACCCACAGAGATCCACCTGCCTCTACCTCCAGAGTGCTGGGATTAAAGGTATTTGCCACCAAAGCCCGGCTTGGTTTTTGTTTGTTTGTTTTGGTTTATGTTTGCTTGCTTTTTCTTTTCTTTTTTGGTTTTGGCTTTTCAAGGTAGGGTTTCTCTGTGTAAACCAGGCTGGCCTCAAACTCACAGAGATCCACCTGCCTGTGCCTCCTGACCACTGGCATTAAAGGTATGCGCCACCACCCCTCAACCCACCCCACCCCCGGCTCTTTACTATGTCTTATGATAGATAGCAGCCATTTCATAAAATAGTGTTTTTCAAACTTAAATCCTTTTTCAATGCCGTGGAATAATTTCTTCAACAAATAGTTGTGTGAATGCAAATTAGAATATTCTAGTTCAAATAGTGATGGTCCTGACTGAAGTCCTGACTACCCAGGGACACTACCTCCTCTAGTACTTGAAAACCAACACATAGTAAACTGAGCTGTCAGTTCAATGGTAGAGCATTTGCCTTATAGGCAAAGGGCACTTAAGTTAGATCCTCAGTGCTACACACATATAAAAAATAGCCTTGACCTTCTAATAAAATACAGCATGCATCATAGTATCTTACCAGCAACCCAGATCTGCACATTATCTGAGTCACTATCAATTCCCACTTTTTAAACTAAGATTGTAAATAGAAACGACCCTTTGTGCCAAAGAGAACAGGAAAACACAAACCATTAAAACAAAACCACCCACAGTTTCTAGACCAGCTTAAACATGTAACCAATACAGAGAACCCTAATTGCGACACCAAACCAGGATGTACAAAGGGCAATTTGAGAAGGAAAGAGAATAATTGCTAAAGTAATAAATGTAGCAGACAACCTACATTTTGAAGAATGTACTGGGAAAAAGTCAGAAAGTAATCAGTTTTTAAAAAGTACTTGGTTCTTTTTCCATTCCCTTCGGTTCTCGCCACTAGCTGTGCAGTCTCCAGTGCCGAGCGCCCATCGCCACGTCACAGAAAATTGAGGAGATCAAGGACTTCCTGCTCACAGCCCGGTGGAAGGATGCCAAATCTGTCAAGATCAAGAAGAACGAGGATAATGTGAAGTTCAAGGTTCGCTGCAGTAGGTACCATTACACCCTGGTCATCACAGACAAAGAGAAGGCTGAGAAGCTGAAACAGTCCCTGCCCCCTGGTTTGGCGGTGAACTTTGAGCACATGCCTGAGCAAATGCTTGAGGGGCTCTCAAAGCAATCCTAGGCACAGGAAGGAATTATAAGCCTGTACCTACTGATTCCTACACCCATTTGCTCAAATGATTAAAACCAATCTGAATAGTTTTCTCTTAATCTTACTCTTCTTCTAAGTTCTCCAACTCAATACTTAGCCACCCTGAAAACTTTAAGCATTGTCTAAGCTTAAAATTTGAGGACTACCACATTCCTTTTTTTCCCTCCCCTCTATAACCAGGTTCAGTGAGAGAACAGATGGGTGGTATCTGATACATGATTCTAGAGCTCATCTACAAAGAAATATTGACCACACCACTTCCAGTCAACAGCCCAGTGTTCTAAAGTTCATGCCAGTGAAGCATAGACGTATTCACCTCCAGGACGCCATCCATCCCAGGGAGGTATACAAGTATTGAACCCCAAGAAGAGTAACTTCCTAGTTAATGGTGTATATGTGTGTATTCAACATTTGGTTCCTTAACATATAGACAACTCGAGAAGTGATACGTAGTCATTCAAATTCATGGTCACTATGTAACACAATCAGAATTTAAGGCTAAATTCCTTAGGATGATTAATATTCTAATATGTATTATAAATCTATCAGAGATTAATGGTTTGTATCTCTGGACAAAGACCTTAACTACAGAATCTTCTCCCACTACTGCAGAATTAATAGCATGTGTTCCCTAAGCACTGCTTTGTTTGTTTTATTTAAAGACCCACTGCCACATGTAGTACCTCATTTAGATTTGCCTAGGTTCCTGGAAACTTAGCCATGTTCTCCTGCAAACAGATCTTGCAGGCTTGTTTAGATGTTATAGTAGCTTAGCTATTCATTTACCCTTCACCAAAGAATGTTCCTCCTCTGTCTCTTCTTTCATCCAGGACACAGCTTCAGGAAGGGCTCATGTGGAGTGGAGAGAGAAGAAAGCACCTGCCTTGCCAGACAGATCACCCAAACCAATCCCTGGTCAATGGGCACCACATCAGAGCCAGAGCTTCCTCACACAATTCCATTCTTTGTGTCTCATCTCATCTCCTCCTGGTGATAGTATATGAAGGTCTATGTTACATGTATTTCTGGTTCACCATTAAGATGGACCTGGGTTTCCATTTACTAAAAATATTCTAATTGTTTTTTAACTTACAGAGCTAGAGAGATGGCTATATGACTTAAAGTGCTTGCTATTCTTACAAAGAACCTAAGTTCTGTTCCCACCACCCATGTCAGGTGGCTCAAAATCCCCTGTACCTCCAGGTCCAGGGGAGCCAATACCCTCTTTTATCTTCCACCTGCACCTGCATTCATATGCACATTCCCATACATATAATATAATAAAAAATCCTTTAAAACTTTAAATTTGTTTTGTTTTTGTTTTTTGAGACAGTGTTTCTCTGTGTTGTTTTGTAGACCAGGCGGGTCTAGAACTCACAGAGATCTGCCTTCCTATGCCTCCTGAGTGTTGGGATTAAGGGCATAGGCCACCGTGGCCCGGCTAAAACTTTTTAAATTTTTTATGAAACCTAGCCTTAATAAATGTACTTCTAGAAGAAATACTCAGCAGTTCTGTTTTTAATTATTTAATAAGGACTGGTTATGTCCAACACCCTGGAGGAGAGCGTCAACCAGTTAAACCTTTCTCAGAGATACAGTTTCTT